AGTGGAGGTACAGTTAATTGCCCTTTTGTCTTTTCTTAGATAGGATATGTTTCCTAAGGCTATAGCTGCTATACGTAGGGATTCTTCTGATGGATCTGGACAAAGTAAATTAAAAACCTGGAAAGGATTCACATTGTAGATGTCTTTAAGAACATTCCTGATTCATGAGAAGAGTAGAAATATCAATATTACAGAAGTTTGGAAGAAGTTGATTCCAACCCTCACTGATAACTTCAGTGGAGGAAGTAATCACAAATGTGGTGGAAATAGCAAGAGAACTAGAATCAGAAGTGGAGCCTGGAAATGTGACTGAATTGCTGCAATCTTATGATAAAACTTGAATGAATGTGGAGTTGCTTTTTATGGGTGAGCAAAGAAAGTGGTTTCTTGAGATGAAACTTACTCCTGGTGAATATGCTGTCGATATTGTTCAAATGACAACAAAAGATTATTACATAAAGTTATTCCATAAAGCAGGGCCTGAGAGGATTAACTCCAATTTTGAAAGAAGGTCTCTGGGTAAAAATGCTATCAAACAACATCACAGATGACAGAGAAATTGTTTATGAAAGGAAGAGTTAATCAAATGGGAAATATTGTTTTTTTATTTACAGAAATTGCCACAGCCACCCCACCCTTCAGCAACCACCTTTCTAATATTTTTAGAATTTTAGCCCACCAACATTAAGGCAAGACCCTTCACAGGCAAAAAAATTGCGATTCACTGAAGTCTTGAATGCTGGTTAACATTTGTTTAGCAATGAATTATTTTTAAATTAAAGTATGTACCCTTTTTAGACATAATACTACTTAATAGACAGTATAGTGAAACATAACTTTTATGTGTACTGGGAAAGCAAATCATTTGTGTTAGTTTATTGCAATTCACGCTTTATTTTGGTGGTCTAGAATGGAAACTGTAATATTTCTGAAGTATGCCTGTAATGTACAATCAGCAAAGCAATCCCCAAAGTGCTAGCAATAGTTTCAAATTCAGCTAAAATTAAATGCAGATATTGGCAGAGTGTGTCAGGGAGTTGATATAAAATAAAATGTGAAGGCATTACAAGTTTCTTTTTAGTCTAAACAAAATTCTTTGAATAAAAAAATCCTACATTTTACATTTTCAGAAGCAGTTCTCTTACCTGAAAGTTTTCTTTGATCATTTTAGGCTCAAAGCTTTTAGGAATGACAACTATCCCTCGCTGGATGTTGAAACGCAAAGCAACCTGAGCTGCAGTCTTTTTGTACTTTTTCCCCAATGAGTTTAGAAGTTCATCCTCTAACAAAGGTTCGAAATAAGTACTCATCCTTAAAAAAATAAAAACATGCATGATATTTAGCTAGAATCAATGAGAAGCAGTGGTTAATCAATCCTCCTCCTCCTCTGTCTTCCCATTCACCTGGTAACCTTCCAGGACATTTCAGGTCACCTGTAAGCATTTTCTCTTATTGCCGAGTCGTCAATGAAGAGTTGTTCTTTGTGTGGGAAGATCAAGAGAGGCAAATTTATATTGCTGCCTTTTTGAGAAAGTAAATATGTTTTGATGTGTCTTACAGAGAGGGTAATATTAGAGTAGAAAAATTTCTACTTTGGTCTGTGCAACACGTCATAGTAGAAGTGTTGCCAATGAATACAGAGATAAAAAATTCTAAAATTTCAGAATTTAGGCCATAGAGACTCTATCAAATACCAACTAAACTAGCATTTATGGATCACCTCTGTATTTCAGGCACTGTTAGGTAATTTTATACATGTCATATACTCAATTCCTATAACATCTAAGTGAGGAAGGTTTTATTAGCTCAGTTTGGATATATGGAGAATGACCTGAAGGGTTTAAGTAAGTTTCTTAAGATTACACAGCCTAATAGAATCATTTCAATAAATAAAATAATGCACATTAGCCTCATACTCTACATCAAAGTAAACACTTTCTGAAGTGACATATAGTATTACTTACCAGTCTCGATTCTTAGAGATCCCCAAAGGAGTAAATGCAACTATGAGAATGTCATGTTGTTGGCAAAATTCCAGGAGTTTTGTCTGGGTGAAATATGGATGGCACTCCACCTATGTGGTTGCATTGAAGAGCAGAGCACAAAGTTAAGGCCTTGTAGATGAATGCAATTTTATGTAGTTTTTAAAACTCTTTAAATAAACTTCTTTTTAAAGTATTATGGATAGTGAGACAAATTCTAAATATTTTTCCAAGGAATCTTACATTGTTTATATACTGGCGAAGTTAATTACAGCAAGGTTAGTAAGAGAACCATCTGTGAATTAATTATAAAATAATTGGGGGGGGATTCAATTTTGTGTCCCTATCATAGTTCCAAACTTGAAATGCACAGAATCAGTTATTTATAATAAACATCCTAGAAAATACAATTTCTATAGTAAACAGTCTCAATGTTCAGATTAGTTTTAGTAAGTGGAAGCGACATGTTACAGAAGCCCTCTGCTCTAGCTATCAAACATCTACGAATACTTTCGCAAGAGTAAGAACATGTATGAAACTGAATTTAAAGATAAATTTTATTTTCTTGGATGAGAGTTCTATTTATTTTTTTACATTCAACATTTAAAACCGTAAGTATTATATAGAGAGGACAGGCAAAATCTTTGGGAGTATCACTGTGGATGCTGCAAACTGTTGAAGATGGGGCTTCAGAAGGACTGCAGTATTGGTAAGCCATCTCTACAGTATTGCTGTGCTCTGCTTTCAGATACCACACAATACATGAATAGGCTCAGGCTGTGATCTTCCAACAGGTCTTGCCTCCCTCGTCGGATATGTTTGTGAAGCTGATAACATTCTTGTGCCAACAGATTAGGAGGGTATTGACTCATTAGCATGAGGCAAAACACTGTCAAATTTTTCTCTCTTTTTCATTCTGAGATAAAATGTTACCATCTTTCTCTGTATACTAGTAGCCCGGTGCATGATATTTGTGCACATTAAAAGGGAATTAATTGCCCTATCTGGTTTGGCTCAGTGGATAGAGCATCGGACTGCGGACTCAACGGTCCCAGGTTCGATTCTGGTCAAAGGCATGTACCTTGGTTGCGCGCACATCCCCAGTGGGGAGTTTGCAGGAGGCAGCTGATCGATGTTTCTCTCTCATCAATGTTTCCAACTCTCTTTCCCTCTCCCTTCCTCTCTGTAAAAAAATAAATAAAATATATTTGTAAAAAACAAAAACAAAAAACCCCACAATAACTATATTTTTACAAAGACAAAAGAGGATTCCTGTGGGAGGCAGCCTGGGTTTTAATG